AACATTGACCAAGGCAATCGCTCCCAAGAGCTCAGTTTTTAAGCTAGATCCAATTTCGTTGCATGAGAGGACTAAAAATAGACTGCACTATTAACCCGCGCCGGGCCGGGGGGGGGGGGGTGTTTGAACACCCCCCTTGCGGTTTTTCGCAGATATCTCAAAAACGGCGGCGCGGAGCGCCGCCGTTTTTGGCACACCTGTTTGTGCATCTTTTCCGCACATGTTGTAAAAATTTCAGACCCAGGTCACCTTAGGTCAGGTCACCAGGTCACGCCAAGTGACCTCACCTCAGAAAAAATAAGAATGCTCGTCATAGCTACACCGACTGAACGATTGCCTTGAAACTTTCAGCGATTGATTAGAGCAACACTATCTATAAAATGTATATCTCGGAATTTTGATATCGGTGACCTAAGGTCAGGTCAATTTTGCGGCCTCTCCATTATAAGTCAATGGGAGAAAATTGAAAAGCGCCTGTTTTGCACAAACGCTATTCTAGACACTCTCAAACATCGAGATGTAGGTAAAATAGACACACTGAACCAGAAAATGGCAACTGTGACCCCTCGTTATGTCCCCGAGGTCATCTCAGGTCACGAACAGAATCTAACAGTTTTTCGATGATAACTTCTGATAGAGGCGTGCTAGAGCGCTGAAAACGCCTTAGATGTGTTTGGCTCGACGTTGCGGATCGACTGATATGCAACATGACCTTTTCCGGTCAGGTCATGACCTTGACCTGAGGTCAAATTTTCAAGTTGACCTTTCAAGGTCAAATTATAGTTCATTCGACGCGTTTCCACGAGAGGAACACGATGCTGGCAAAAGTAATGTTATAGCTCTTTTGAGTCAAAAGTTATTGCCGAAAAAACGTTTTTCGTAAAAACGGCTATTTTTTTAGTTTTTGCCCTCTGGAGGCTAAACCGTTGACCTGAGGTCAAATCTGAGAACATTACTCAGAAAGGTCTGTAATAGGGCTATCGAATGCGTTTTTTTTTTGCGGCGCTGTAGCTCTATCGGTTCCCGAGATAGCCGTTGGCAGTTTCCAAAATGTTGAAATAGTCAACATTTTACCTTTGGTGACCTCTGGTGACCTGACCTTTGACCTGACCCAAAAAATGACCGAAGCGTTTTCGTCCTTATTTTTGACGTTCTTTCGATTGCCGCTTACCGCGTGTCGCTACGTGGCCCAGGAGCCGAGTTAGAAGGGGGGGGGGGGTGTTCAAACACCCCCCCCGCGGCCCGGCGCGGAATTTCAGAGCACCGGCCCGGCGCGGGTTAAACTGCTATCTCGGATTTTCAAATTTTGGAAAAATTTGAAATTTATATATAATAAAATTCGAAATTTATATTTGTTTATATTTCTTAAAACTTTTTTTTTTGAACTTTGGACAAAACTGGAACATATTTGATAGAACACATGGTTATGACTTACTCTAGCAAGTTTTAGCTAAATATCTTCAAAAATGGCCAAGTTATAGGTACGCATTATATTTGCAAAAAAAAAATCACAATTATAAATTTTTCAAACCAATTTCTCAGTACGTTTTTGTCATCGTACACCAATATAAATAGCTCCATCGTATTGCTGACCTCAAACTGCATCCGATAGACATGCTTTTTGATGAAAAATTTCAACTATGATATTTGACCTTTTTTGACCTGAACGTGACCTGACCTCAGCTATATGCAGAATGAAAATGGCCTCAAATGACACAGGCGACACTGAATTCGAAATTTATGGCCTAAATGGACCATAAAACACGTGTCACGTGACCGACTTATGACATAAGATTTCCGTGACATATGATGATCTGACCCTGACCTGAAAATCAAAGTACAAGTTTGGTACCCTGAGGGTATCTAAAGCATCTGTTCACGAGTGTGTTAACCAAAAATCAGCCATATCTGACAGGTAAGACGACAGCTAGAGCCCAAAAAGTGAACAAGCCAAATATCGATATTTTTTACTTTGACCTGACCTGTGACGTCATCGGTGACCTCGACGTCAATAAAATTAGGTTTCGCTCGGTTTCGTTTGAATTTTGACGATCGGCCCAGTCGTTTTGGAGTTAGGAGGGGGCTATGAATAGCCCCTCCCCCCCCCCCCCAGTGGGGCGTGTTATACACAGACCCCAGTGGGGCGCGGGTAAAGAGGTTTAAAATAGGATGGATTCTTTTCCTTCTTTTTTTTTTTTGCTTTCTTTCCGCCTGAAGGCTGTAGGTAAACAATGCAAGATTAACCTTCGCCCCAGTGGGGGGGGGGGGGGCATATGTTACCACCCTGTCGCGTTTTTTGCGTGTGAATAAAAAACCGCGGCGCGTAGCGCCGCGCCGCTTGGGGTAGCTTTTGGTACATCAATTTTGGACAATGTGTGAAATTTTTGACCCCAGGTCATGTCAGGTCAGGTCACCAGGTCAAGTTAACTGACCAAGCCTAAAAAAAGTTTGCAATCATGTCCAGCCTGCAGTGTTTGTCAGAAAGGTTTTAAACTTGGTGGATTGCATGCTGTTATGGGCGCCTACAATTTGTATATCTCGGATTTTTTATATCTGTGACCTAAGGTCAGGTCAGTGGCGTGACCTTTCCATTACAAGTCAATGGAGAAAAATGAAAATGCCTCTAGATCCGTGTGTACGCATCGGAACAGTCCAAATATTTCAGAATCACAATGATTTAGTCCACTCGTGATGACCAAGGTGTCATTTTTGCTGATAGCCTCTAGGCAGGTCATCCGAGGTCACTTGAGGCTACAAACAGTTTTTTGCCAATAACTCGCGATTGGAAAGAGCTAGAACGCTGGGGATGGTCTCATTGTGTTTGTCTTGTTGAGACGCATCGACTGATATGCAACATGACCTTTTCCGGTAAGGTCATGACCTTGACCTGAGGTCAAATTTTCAAGTTGACCTTTCAAGGTCAAATTATAGTTCATTCGACGCGTCTCGGCAAGGGGAACACGATTCTGGCCATAGAAATGTCGTGGCTTTTTGTAGTAGAAAGTTATTGTCGAAAAACACTTTTCGTAAAAACAGCTATTTTTAGAGTTTTTGCCCTCTGGAGGCTAAGCCGTTGACCTGAGGTCAATATTGAAAATGACCTTTTCAAAAGAAGGGTTCAAAAGCTATCGTTTGCTCTTCCATGCGTTTTTCTACCTACCATAGTTCATGAGATAGCGGCATGTTTTCTGAAAAATATTATGACAATTGGCAAATTTTGACCTTTGATGACCTCTGGTGACCCCAATATTGCTCTAAGCTGAAAAATGACCGAAATACTTTCAAACGTACGCATAAAGAGCTATCGACTGCTTTTTACCGCGTCTTTCTAGCCCTCTTAGTTTTTGAGTTAGAGGCGGGTGGTAACATATGCCCCCCCTCACTAGGGCGAAGTTGGCTGAGACCGCCACTGGGGCGCGGGTTAATATCAAATTGTATTTCATAGTAGGGGAGAGCGGGGCCAGTTGAACCACTTTTTATATATTGACATGCACAGCGAAATCTAGTTGTCATATCGAAAAATGCACAATGCCATAAAAAATATGCTCTTTTGGCTTTATTTTAAGATATGTAAAATTATGTTTCAAACATATTTTGCTGCCAAACGCATGCTTATAAAACAGCTCTACGCCCGTTTCAAATGACCCCGATGCGAGGGTCAATTGAACCAGCCCATGGGGTCAATTGCACCTATCCTTAACAATGGGATGTTTTCCTCTTTAAGGCCACTTTCTTAAGGAAATATTTTGTCCGGTTTACTTTTCCAAATGCTACATTCAAAAGGTCGTTGGAAAGCTAAAAGTGCAACGTTCCTCATAATAGGTGACATTAAGTACATAGACTATGGTAAAATGGGCGGATGAGAAAAATGAGAAACATCTCAGAATATGGTGTGCTTTCAAGCAAAAGGCTGGGGAAAAAAGGGTCAAAAATTGAGCTCTATTAAGCTACTATTTCAGTTTAAAAGCTCATTTCAAAGGTGGACTATTTCCTTTAATGTTTACAGCCCCTGAACAATAACCATTGCAAAGGTCACCGGGGTCCATTGAAACGGCCTGTGGCCCTGTTTCAACTGACCCTCAGAGAAGCGTTTCAATTGACCCCATCCGCTCCCGCCATCTCGCACGCGCCGTAAAGCACATGTCAAACGAGCTGGAGGGACGGCATCATGCTGAATGAAGGGCCAAATAAGGTGTTATTCCGGAGCCAGGAGTTCTTCTTTCAGCAAACAAAGGTATATGAGATATCACAAAATATTCCTAAAAACGATTTCTCCTAAACGCCCCTCAAAAACACAAAAACAAGTGTCAAATCAAAATTACCGTCCGTTTGCCGCCCAAACGCCGTTGACAAAGGAAGTGGCTGAGCGCGGATGCGCAGTGGTGTCGGCAACGCCATATGTTGCATATTGTTGAAAATAAAGCCATGTTTCATCTGACCCCGTGTTTCAACTGGCCCCGCTCTCCCCTAGATCATGTAACCAAAAAGTGACCGAGGTAAACGCATGACGACACATTCTAATATCAATAACGTTTGCTGTCCAGGTGGAGAAAACTTATGGCCAATTGGGAGTTTTCCGCTTTGCCCCGTTCATGACTTACCCCCCACATACCTACCGTCCGCGACAAAGGTAACGGAAGGTTCGTTGTCAATAGTTAAAACACTATTAGTTAGAATTGTTTTTTTTTTCATTGAAAAACAAATCTGAGTTCCCTGACAATTTGGCAAAAGTTGCCTGAGATCGGTACCTACCTATGTACATCTTGATACTAGAGAAAACGACAGCTCCAAAAAATTTCGATTGTTTCAGGATTTCTAGTGGGCCAGGTGATCTAGGTTCCGGTATGGGTCTCTCCTCCGGGGACAATCTGGTGCACGTGCCACGTGACCTTAAAATTTCCCATGTTAATAGCTCACTGCCTCACACTCGATGATAGCGTAATCGTCATGTGATGTAGCATTTTGTTATAACTTATCATATTCTATTATACACAGGCATGTATTTTGTTCACCGTGGTTTATTTACATAATTTTTCTTTATTTTGCATATATAGTGGCGTTATTGACATTGCAAACACATATTTCTTGTCCACAAGCAAACATCATTTATATACCATATAGTTCACGTGAATTGCGAGTCACTTCAGGCACATACGTGATGTCTCCGAAACTAGCCAATAATTACATATAATACACATCTTATACATACATGAGCGCACATTGGCACACGAGAACAGCTCCGTTAAGCTGAGAGGCCAGTGAGCGCGGCAGTGACACGGGGCAGCGCAGGCGAGGCCTGTGCCGGGGTGCCGCGGTATCGGCGACCGGGTCACCCTACTGGCTCTCCGCTCGCCCCGCCCACTGTGCGGCGACCTCGGCCGGGCCGCCGCGCACGGTGGGCCAGTGCGCTCCTTTCCGCGCCACTGTGTTAGCATTGGTCAGCGCGGGCGTCCGTCACAGAGGGCCGCCGAGGGCTCCCATCTGTCCCGGCACTGAGCCGAGTCGTCCATTGCACAGCGCGAGTGTCGGTCGTCGGTCAGAGACCGGCCCTGCTACGTGAGGCGCAGCATGAGCGCTGGTTCTGCTGCTACACCTGAAATATGTAGAACACCACGCACTATTAGATACGGAGAGTGAAAACATAGTTCACAAGTTTTGTTGAAGTAATTTGATGCCATTTCCAAGTCGAATGTGTGTCGAATGTTTTAGTGGTCAAACTTGTAACGCAAAATTGTATTATAATGTACTACAGCATGAATGGTGGTCTTGTGCGAGAAAGCTAATGAGCCACGTCTCTGCTGAGCCCAATGTTGCAAGTGTCGTACATGGGACTGATAGTGCTGGATTAACTTCAGGTACCTAAAACGATGACCAAATGCAGCTATTTTTCGCACTGAATTTCAGTCTATCGTATATTGACTTTTTTGGGAATCGTTTGGAAACCTTGGATACGCATTTGCCAGCACCGGCTATCTAGTACCTACATATAGCCAAATGCCGGAGATATGAGAGTGTGGCACATTGCACGACGGCCGGGCCGTGGGATCGGCCGCGGGCCGCGGGCCCCGCCCAACTGACCGTCTGCACGCGGCTCCTGCTACGGACCAGCATCACGGCGGCCACGACCACGAGCAGTGCGCCGACGGCTATCAGCGCCCACTGGGTGCCCGTCAGGATCTTCAGCGGCGTCATCAGCTCGCTGTCGAGCTCGTCGGCGTGGGCCTGGTCGATGGTGGCGGTCTGCAGCGTGCGGCGGGGGGGGGGGGGGTGAGGGGGCGCAGGGGGAGGTCGGGGAACGGGGCAGGCTGAGAGGGAGGCACGCCGGCCCGGCAGGCATAGAGCGACATTGGGTAGTGGGAGGATGAAGGGCTGATATTGTGCACAGAGGAGAGACGCCAGACGGCCAGGGTGGGCCGCCGCACAGCAGGGGACGGATACCAGGAAGACGCAGCAAATGGCAAGCTATCAACCAGCAGCAACACATCGTTCGTGGACTTGAGAAGAAGCCGAAACAAGTGGACCTTATGTGTAAGGCTCCTTTCAAAAGTTAAAGAAAGGCTAGTGCAAGAATATTTTTTTCCAAATGTAACATAAAGGTACGCCCATTCCAGTTGAAAAACAATAAATATCAAGACACAATATTCTAAGTAGTTTTAAGATCAGCTAGAGAACAGTTTGGCGGCTACCTTAACTTAGCCTTTAATTACCAACCTCGTTCGTGTAGATTAGGGGGAATAACATTTCAGGGATGTGTTCCAGTCCTTTGACTTTAATGAGCCCTTGGTAGCGTTTGGTTTGCAGGTTGATCTGGATCTTTTTTCCTCCATTCATCGCCAGACCGGTGTACTGTGGACGTCAGACCACGTGACAGAGTACAGTGCATGCTGAAAAGATACCTCACGAGATCACATGACTGGCCGCAGAACATGCTCCAATAAAACCAAGCTAATCATTTATGACTTGCACCAATGCACCAATCACCATGTATGGTGAGTGATATCGAGGACTTGAAATAGCAGCATTGCACAGTATTGTATTATACGGGGCCAGGCAGCCTTATTGTTGAACTCGCGCAAAGAGGTATCCGCCCTCGCCTCTATACATCGATCTGAACACCTAGCGTCTCTTATGGTCTTACCGGTTCAATGTCAATGAACGTCTGGTGACGATTCTTATCGGGTGAAAGGCCGATCGACTGGTTGATGTACTCCTCAGCCCCCATATAGAAGTGAGGCGTGGAGGCCACGATGGGTGCGCCTGTGAAAATACAATCATGAATATAAATGGCAAGAGTTGCGGGAACTGATGCAAGCGTGTCTTGAAGAATCACCTTATACCACAGGCGCTAGTCTAGCCCATAAGCCCGGGGCAAGGCGGGTGAGCGTGTCACGTTTCGTCCTAATTTCTTGGCAAGGCCTGTGGTACCTATACATCTTTTCCGCACCGGTTATTGGACCTTCAGTCACATGTATTATCCAAGGCCACCGATATATCGGTAGCCTGAATAACGCATAAAATAATAATGACTCTAGGTACTGATAGGGAGCACTGATTGGCAGGGATCACCGACTGTACTAGTCCTGACAGGGAGCACTGACTGTACTGGCAGGGAGCGCTGACTGTACTGGCAGGGAGCGCTGACTGTACTGGCAGGGAGCACTGACTGTACTGGCAGGGAGCACTGACTGTACTGGCAGGGAGCGCTGACTGTACTGGCAGGGAGCACTGACTGTACTGGCAGGGAGCACTGACTGTACTGGCAGGGAGCACTGACTGTACTGGCACGGAGCACTGACTGTACTGGCACGGAGCACTGACTGTACTGGCACGGAGCACTGACTGTACTGGCACGGAGCACTGACTGTAATGGCAGGGAGCGCTGACTGTACTGACAGGGAGCGCTGACTGTACTGGCAGGGAGCGCTGACTGTACTGGCAGGGAGCGCTGACTGTAATGGCAGGGAGCGCTGACTGTAATGGCAGGGAGCGCTGACTGTACTAGCAGGGAGCGCTGACTGTACTACTACTGGCAGGGAGCGCTGACTGTACTGGGAGGGAGCGCTGACTGTACTGGCAGGGAGCGCTGACTGTAATGGCAGGGAGCGCTGACTGTACTGGTAGGGAACGCTGACTGTACTGGCAGGGAGCGCTGACTGTACTGGCAGGGAGCACTGACTGTACTGGCAGGGAGCACTGACTGTACTGACAGGGAGCACTGACTGTACTGGCAGGGAGCACTGACTGTACTGGCAGGGAGCGCTGACTGTACTGGCAGGGAGCACTGACTGTAATGGCAGGGAGCGCTGACTGTACTGACAGGGAGCGCTGACTGTACTGGCAGGGAGCGCTGACTGTACTGGCAGGGAGCGCTGACTGTAATGGCAGGGAGCGCTGACTGTAATGGCAGGGAGCGCTGACTGTACTAGCAGGGAGCGCTGACTGTACTACTACTGGCAGGGAGCGCTGACTGTACTGGGAGGGAGCGCTGACTGTACTGGCAGGGAGCGCTGACTGTAATGGCAGGGAGCGCTGACTGTACTGGTAGGGAACGCTGACTGTATTGGCAGGGAGCGCTGACTGTACTGGCAGGGAGCACTGACTGTACTGGCAGGGAGCACTGACTGTACTGACAGGGAGCACTGACTGTACTGGCAGGGAGCACTGACTGTACTGGCAGGGAGCGCTGACTGTACTAGCAGGGAGCGCTGACTGTAATGGCAGGGAGCACTGACTGTAATGGCAGGGAGCGCTGACTGTACTGACAGGGAGCGCTGACTGTACTGGCAGGGAGCGCTGACTGTACTGGCAGGGAGCGCTGACTGTACTGGCAGGGAGCGCTGACTGTACTGGCAGGGAGCGCTGACTGTACTGGCAGGGAGCGCTGACTGTAATGGCAGGGAGCGCTGACTGTACTGGTAGGGAACGCTGGCCGCGCAGGCCGAGGGTACTGTGGCAATTGACAAGGACAGGAAGGGGCAGGGAGCACTGACCGTAGGTGCTGGTAGTGAGCACTGACTGCATGTACTGGCAGTGAATATTGGAGCACTGACCGTACTGGCAGGGGCTGAGCGACATGACGCCCGCCTTCAGGCACTTTCCCACGCAGTAGCACTGGTTGTCCTCGTTGATGGCGGGGTCCTCCAGGACGTCCCTGGTGGGCGCGAACCGGCGGCCAGGGATGCCGAAATACTCCACGTCCTTCTCGTAGTCGAGGTAAATCGACCTGTGGAAGAGAACACAATTTAATGGGACCGGAGACTCCTCACAAGCGCCAAAACCAACAGGAGACCGGGTTTTCTTTATAAACTTACTTTTTTCGTAATCAAGGTCACAGAAAAGGTAAGAACCAAGGCAATGAGACATCAAAGCTAACAGAGATGAGCTCTCGCCAAGATGGGACGCGTTTTTGGCTACACTCTCCAGTTTTTTTTTTTTTGCGTGCGTAAAGAAAACCGAGTCGCGCAGTGCCGTGAAACTTGGAGCATTGACTGCCTTAGGTATACATCACTGCTTGCACCGACTGCTTAGCTATACATCAATTTTGCATCGTGTGTTAATTTTTCCCCGGTCACAAATGGTCATGCCACTAGGTCAACTTGCCTCTAAAAAAAGTCATGCCTCTGAAAATATCGTTTTCGCCATTTTTTCAACTTATCTCTTAGAACTTAGCCGGTCCCGTAGCTCAGTCGGTAGAGCGTTGGACTCAGCTTGGTGAGAGCACGCATTCCCAGTTATACAACAGTCCGGGTTCAAAGCGCGACAGGCGCTTGACATTTATGGGCCTCCTGACAGGTATATGGTTGCGGTTGGTGGCAGGCCGTAGCCAGGTAAAGTTAGTGAGGGGACCGGCCGTGGGCGGCTATGTGCGCACGTTAAACTTTGGACTCTAAATTCTTCCATATATGAACTGGAATTGCGCGATCGGAGGGTAGAGGGCAGGGTCACCGCAACAAGCTTCGCTTAGCGGGGGCTCTGTCCTTGTCAATCCTTCCTATCAAAAAAGGTTCGGACTAGATTTATAAAACCAGTATAACGCCTTTTGGGGCGACTAACGGAGCGAGCGAGAGGGTGAGCCTTGCACGTGCGAAATTTCGAGGGGGTACCTCCAGCTGACTTGTGCACGGCACCCTACTAACCGGTCTCTAGCGATGTGCCAAATTTGAGCACAATCGGCCCAGCCGTTCTCGAGATCTGGAAGCGGCACCCTGCACGTGCGCACGTGCAAAATGGGTCCCAACTGACTTTTGCACGGCACCCTACTAACAGGTCCCTAGCCATGTACCAAATTTGAGCGCCATCGGTCCAGCCGTTCTCGAGATCTGGAATCGACCCCTGCACGTGCGCACGTGCAGCAGCACCCCAACTCTGGCACATGGATATGCAGTGCCTAGTGGGTGCCTACCTTCATGCCAACTTTCAGCGCAATCGGCCAAGTAGTTACCGAGATATTGCAACAATTACAAAAGTGACACCTCTTCGTTTTGCACGTGGCACGTGCATAAGGGGTCACCCACATGCATCGGGAATAGTCCAATACTTGGTAGAAGGAATGAAGCTACCCTACAAAAATTACCGCATGTAAATCGGTCAAGTGGTTGCTGAGATATAAGCGTCGCAGAAGCGTGACCACGGCCGGCCGGCCGGCCGGCCGCTCATACTCAGAAATTTCCGTTATTCTACGTAAGACTCCGCTCGCTTCGCTCGCTCCGTAATAAAATAAAAACTTTGAAACTCGGTGCATTAAAAGGATTAGAGAATCAATTCAAATAATTTTCTATCTCGTATCATTCACACCTGTGACCTGGGGTCAGGTCAGATTTGTGCTCTCACTATCATAAGTCAAAGGGGGTACCTACAAGTAAATACTTATTTGAACAAACGCGTCAGAACCTTAGGCTATTTACTGAAACATGACCACTTCGCCCATATGCGATGGACAGATGTAGTGCAGCTGATGACCCGCGGTCATTCCAAAGGTTATGTTGGATCATAAAAGGTGGGTCATTAGTTGTTTTTTTTTTACACTAACTTTTAATGGAGCCATGGTTGTGCGATGAAATCGCCTGCACTGCGTTCAAGTCATCAATACGGATGATTGATATGCAATTGGGCCTTTGAGCAGGGATCATCGTTGGGGCGCTGCTCTTTGCGGAGCTGATCGGGGATGGGGGGGGGGGGAGCTGCCCCGACGGGGAGCTGACCTGCAGAGGTCCTTGTTGAAGATGTAGACGCGGTCCACCTCGCCCGTGTTGGGCGGGTAGCTGATGCCGTCGGTGCCGTTCAGCATGTTGCAGTAGTCAGTGCTCCAGTAGCTGAGCTCGGAGGCGTTCTGGTACGACAGGATCCGAGTGAACTGGTTGATGTCGTCCTTGCCCGTCTTGATCGTGTACGGCCCGTCCACGGTGTTATTGTACTGCAGTGCGGTCCAGCGGCTAGCGTTAGAGGCAGCGTGTCTGCCTTAGCACAGGAGTCACCGTCCGCTGGTTGGATTAGGGCTAGGTTTATGAGAGGTATAGTTTCAGAATGCAGAAGCAATGCATTCGCTACAAAAAAAAAACATTTACAGTGGAAACGTCTCAACACTTACATCTCAACTAATAATTCGGTATAGGTACATTCAAAGAGAAAGCTGATTTTACAATTCATAGACAACCAGTCATCCATATGACAAAACGTTTCTCCCACATCCGTATGCCCTACCCCATAGAGCCGGAATTTTCCATCGCTGAAGGTGGGCGGCAGCAGAACAGAGAGCGGGCTGGCAGCCACCGCCGCCATCAGAGGGTCGTCGACACCGGACATGAGTAGCTCGCCAGCCTTGTACAGCTTGAAACTCTCTCCCTTCTCATACGTGTTAATCATTCCAAAGAGCACTGACTTTCCCAGGGGAAGCTCGTCTCCCATCGCAGCGAGCACCTGAGGGAGAGAAAAATGTCCATTCGCCATCGGTATGAATCTGTAAACTGCAGGGCCTCCTTTCATAAAGCGAGTCCATAACTTACGGCGGTTTTTGGTCTTGTATTGCAAGTGCATGTGAAACGATAGATTTATTACTCCTTCTCCCCTCTGTCTTGCTTGCCAGATAAATAATTCAACGATTCAAACTATCGTCATGGCTTCACATGCACTTGCAATACAAGACCAAAAACCGCCGTAAGCTACGGACTCGCTTTATGAAACGAGACCCTGGCCGGTCAGGTTAATATCACGGTATGAACTATGCATCGTCAGAAACGCACTCTTATCGGACACACGCGAGGCACACACATCTGTGACAGTTCGACGTGGACAGTCCCATTCCCTATCCGCTGCAGAGCCGTCCCCTGTCCCGACCAGACTGTCCTACTCAGACAACGAGTTTTCCCTACTCAGAGCCGTCCCTGTTCGGACCAGATTGCCCTGTACTGACCCCTGAGGACTGTCCGAGTGTCCCACGGACCGGTGAGCCGGGTGCTGACCCCGTGTACTGACCACCATGGGCGCGTTGATGGTGGAGATGATGGTGTCCTCGCTGACGTCCGGCGAGGACGACGGCTGGTCGTAGAAGTAGGAGATCACCTCGTAGTAGGTGAGCTCTGTGCCGTCCTCCGACCACGTCAGGTTGATGCGCTGACGGTTTTCCCTGCGCAGACACACACCATCACACGGTCACACACCATCACACGGACACACACCATCACACGGTCACACACCGTCACACGGTCACACACCATCACACGGTCACACACCATCACACGGACACACACCATCACACGGTCACACACCATCACACGGTCACACACCATCACACGGTCACACACCGTCACACGGTCACACACCGTCACACGGTCACACACCATCACACGGTCACACACCGTCACACGGTCACACACCATCACACGGTCACACACCATCACACGGTCACACACCGTCACACGGTCACACACCGTCACACGGTCACACACCATCACACGGTCACACACCGTCACACGGTCACACACCGTCACACGGTCACACACCATCACACGGACACACACCATCACACGGTCACACACCATCACACGGTCACACACCATCACACGGTCACACACCGTGTCTTGGCCGCACCATGAGTGAACATAAAGCCCAAACAGCCGGCCGCAGTATAGTTTACGGACGAGAGCTGTATTTACTGCATTTCCAAAGGAATCGGTGAATGGAATTTGCTGGAGGAAACATTTCCGGAGATGCGATTAAACACTCATTTTTTTAGAGTCAAGGTAAGAATAGATTGCCATAACACACACGAATACAAAGACTTCAGTTAAGCGATCAACTTAGCTCAAGTTTCACAAGCTATAAAAAGTATAGCAGCAGGCTACCGAATACCGGTGCGAATGAAAAGAAACAGTGGCACTTATATGGCACATCGAATATATCTTGTTCAAAAAGACCGCGGCAATGAAATCGAATGCCGCGGAGAGCTGAAATTTGAAGATTGACGGGGGGGGCGCAGCGTCTCGGACCACCTTTCTGGATCTGCCTGTGCTAAGTAAAAGCCAAAAGGCATTACCAAAATCTAAAAACATTGAAACGATGCCGTATGCTCTTATAGTTCTTTTCTCGGTCTTTTAGAACAAATTATATTGAATGAACAATAGTTCATCTAACTTCATTTCATAGCTTATAGCAAAAAACCTACCTAATCTATATTATAAATCTTATATTAAAATAAAACATTCACTTGCCAATGGTACTTACTTGTATGAAAATGGACCAACTTCCTTCAAAATTGGCTTGTCTCCTCTTTTAACCTCTGCAGGATTAGTGACGTTGAACATAATGAACTGCATGAACACATCGATCTCTGACGTTGGAGCTCTCCAGGGATCAAAGCTCTCCGAGTCTTCGGTCAGCACCATTTCCTGCAAAAATTGAACAGCTTGTCAACAGTGTTCCTGGTCAGTTACTTACAACCCGCGCCGTGCTGGTGGTCGAGTATTCCGTAGGTAGGTACTTACACACAGTGCTGGAGGAAGGGGTGATTTCACGCCCCCCCCCCCGTCTAACTCGGCTCCTGGGCCACGTAGTCACACGCAATAAGTGGGATCGAAAGAGCATCAAAAATAATGAATTGAGTACTCTGGTCAAAAGTCATCAAAGGTCAATTTTCCCCTATTTCTACAATTTTCGACAAATCGGCGCATAGCTCGGGAGCCAAAAAGCTACAGCCGCCGCGGAAAAGCTTATCCGATAGCTCTTTTAACGCCCCTTCCGGGCATATGTTCTCAGGTTTGACCTCAAACCAAAAGTTTCACCTTCCAGAACACAAAAGCTCTTAAACTAGCCGTTTTTACGAAACACGTTTTCTGAAATAATTTTCTACTCTAATGTCACGGCATTGCTTTTGCAAGTACCGTGTTCTTCTCGTCGAGACACCTCGAATGCTCAATAAGTTGACTTTGAAATGTCATTTCGAAAATTTAGCCTCAGGTCAAGGTCATGACCTGACTGAAAAGGGTTATGCACGATATCAGTCAATGGCCATGTCGTCGAGCTGAATTCATTTATAGATGAATTCATCTAAGGTGTTGTCATCGCTCAAAATGTCTCTATCAAAAGATATTGTAAAAAAAACTGCAGCAGACCTTCCTTGACCTGAGATGACCTCAGGGGCATAACAAGGGGTCATGAGTGGCAATTTTTCGATTCAATGTGTCATGGTTACCTTTTAGGTATACGATGTTCGAGAGTGTTTAATTTTGACGTTCGCTTAAAAGCGGCGCATTTTAACCCGCGCCGGGCCGGGGGGTGTTTGAACACCCCCCTGCGGTTTTTGGCACACCTGTTTGTGCATCTTTTCCGCACATGTTGTGAAAATTTCAGAACCAGGTCGCCTTAGGTCAGGTCACCAGGTCACGCCAAGTGACCTCACCTCAGAAAAAAATTAGAATGTTCGTCATAGCTACACCGACTGATTGATTGCCTTACAACTTTTAGCGATTGATAAGAGCAATATTATCTATAAAATGTATGTCTCGGAATTTGGATATCGGTGACCTAAGGTCAGGTCAATTTTGCGGCCTCTCCATTGTAAGTCTACGGGAGAAAATTGAAAAGCGTCTGTTTTGCACGAACGGTATTCTAGACACTCTCAAACATCAAGATGTAGGTAAAAGTGACTCACTGAACCGGAAAATGGCAACTGTGACCCCTCGTTATGTCCGCGAGGTCATCTCAGGTCACGAACAGAATCTAACAGTTTTTCGCCAATAACTTCTGATGGAGGCGTGCTAGAGCACTGAAAACGCCTAAGATGTGTTCGCCTCGACGTTGCGGATCGACTGATTTGCAACATGACCTTTTCCGGTCAGGTCATGACCTTGACCTGAGGTCAAATTTTTAAGTTGGCCTTTCAATGTTAACCCTCGCATGTGTAGGGGGGGGGTCGGATGGACCCCCCCCCCATGGTTTTTCGCGAATAACTCGCATAAAAAGCGGCCGATCGCAACGAAACTTTCAGTACCCTCGCATTGATCAATTTTACACCTACCCTGAAAATTTCATGACCCTGACCCAAATGACCTTTGACCTGTGACCTCTTTTCCGAGACCATGTTTGGCCGGAATCGCGATTTCGCGTATGTCGGCTCGCACTAGCCGCGTGTTTTTAAGCTTTTCGTGGTTTCAAACGTTCAAACATGTGATTTGATGTTACTCCCGTGTGTGTCAAGGTCACCTGAAGGTCAGGTCAGGTCATTGACCTTTGGTGACCTCGGGTGACCTCGGGTCACTTTTTCGAGTTTTACATGTTTCTAGGCTAGTTTTTGGAGCTGAATTCGAATTTAGCAACCATTTGAACATTTACGAAGTAGTTTTGGTGACTTCGTAACATGTTACGAAGCTGTCAGAGGCGGTTGACACGTACTACGAATACCCGTCACGACGCCTACTGGTTGACCTGACCTGACCTGACCCGACCTGGTCTAAATGCTTCAAGACATCATCTGTGATCAAAACTAACACGATATTCGTGATCAGCACCCCGAAAAACCCCTTAGCAGCCACACTTTACGACTTTCTAACAGGTCCCGATTTTCCCGACTTTGGGTCATTGACCTGACCTGGAAGGTCAACCAATGACCTAGGACCTTAAAATTTGGTATCATCGGCTTCCTCTCGTCACGGGCAACACGCTCGTTTTTTCCGCGAAGCTCTAGCTCGATCAGGGGCCAAACGGCAAGGGGGGGTCCAACCGACCCCCCCCCCCCCCTACACATTAGAAGCTGGAAAACGCCGCACACATGCGAGGGTTAAATTATAGTTCATTCGACGCGTCTCGACGAGAGGAACACGATGCTGGCAAAAGTAATGTCATGGCTCTTTTGAATAAAAGTTATTGCCGAAAAACGCTTTTCGTAAAAACGGCTATTTTTGGAGTTTTTGCCCTCTGGAGGCTAACCCGTTGACCTGTTGTCAAATCTGAGAACATTATTCTGAAAGGTCTGTAAAAGGGCTATCGAATGCGCTCTTCCGCGGCGCTGTAGCTCTATCGGTTCCCGAGATAGCCGTAGGCAGTTTCCAAAAGGTTGAAATAGTCAACATTTTACCTTCGGTGATCTCTGGTGACCTGACCTTTGACCTGACCAAAAAATGACTGAGTGTTTTCGTCCTTATTTTGGACGTTCTTTCGATTGCCGCCTACTGCGTGTCGCTACGTGGCCCAGGAGCCGAGTTAGAAGGGGGGTGTTCACTGTTCAGACCCCCCGGCCCGACGCGGAATCTCAGAGCACCGGCCCGGCGCGGGTTAATTTCTCCCCTTGACTTATGATGGAGATGTCGCAAAAACTGACCTTGCCTTAGGTCACATGTATCAAAATTCAGAGTTGACCAGCTCACACGTATATACTGATACCTACTGATGTATCTGATACTGATATATCAATCGGTAAAAGTTGCAAAGCGATCGTTAAGTCGGTGCAGCTACGGCGAGCATTTAATTACTTTTTTCTAAGGTGAGGTCACTTGGCGTGATTTGGTGACCTGACCTTGAGCGACCCGGGTCTGAAATTTTAACAGCATATGCAGAATAGATTATGATAAGGTGTGCGCCGCTGCTTTTTTTATAGATATTTGCGACAAATCTGCTGGGCCGGCTACACCCCCCCCCCCCCCCCCCCAGCACGGCGCGGCGCGGGTCACCAAACCTGCCGCAGTGGATTAGCTCATTAGTATTCATACCGTGGAGAACGGTTAAACGAGTTACAGAAACACTGGAGGAGGGTAACAAGAACGATCTGATCAGAGTTGTCTAAAAATAAAAAGGAGCAATTGGGTGAGCTGGGATGTAACAGTTATAGTTCGGTGAATTCGATTCCCTTACCCAAAGCACCAAATACCACAATGCAAGCTATTCTAAATGCTTATTGCTTATAAATAAATGGCATGCGTCATTAATCATCAGCCATTAGGTGAGGTACGGCCATAAACATTGAACATGAACGCGAGAACGATTTTTAGGCACGTGAGTGCTGTATTTCAGTTTTTGAGGCACTTCAATTGAGGCACTTGAGTGCTGAAAGCGCGCTCCCATCCGCCGAGTGGTGCCTTCAGATTGCGGTGGATAGCCGGGCGTACTTTCTGTGCGGCCGCCAGTGCTGGTCGGCATGACTCGGAACACCTTTCACACGCGCCGCAGATCGGAAGATAGGGCCGCTACGGTGACTGCCTGAGTGAGCTGTCCAAAAGCAGAGCTGGGAAAACACCCAGCTGAACACGAGCGAGTGCGAAGCGTGAAGTGAATCTTCCCAATATTCACGGAAATGGCGCTGGGTCACTGGGCGACTCCGCTCACTTTCCGTTAGACCTTCCACGACTTCGTTAGACCTCACATGGCCCAGTCTAGCGTGAAGGGATATTTACCTGCATAATATTCCCCAGTGCACACACATACAACCATTTAAAATGATTGTTGCTTTAAAAGAAATGGTTGTTGCTGTTGGAAGCATAATTTATTCCTCTCGAATTTGTCTATAGCTGATGCATCTGGGTGACCATCATGGCACGTTCCATGGCCATTGTGTTGCTTGCATGCATAAAAATAAAAAACACATGCTTGCATGCATATTGTATGTAACATATCATTGCATCCCTATGTATAAAGGTAGCGTATTTGCGCATGCATGCCCTCTCTTCTCACCTACTCGGCAAAAAGGAAACTGTTAACAAATAAAACAACAAAAGCAAAGAAAAGACGGACGAAAACCATCCAAGCGTCACGCAGCTAGATCAAGTACATGAATTACTGGCCAAGTAGCGCGCATATCACCGTGTCCGAGAATCACCTATGTAGGAATATTTACTCCCAAAATTGCGTGATATATCTCAGTTCCGTTTGTGCCTGCACCGACAGCCGTGTATTTGTATGGTCGACAACGGCCCGAGACACTGCACCTCGTGATGGCCTTGCGGCAGAAACCTGAACGGCTCTGTCAGGATCAGGCTCGTGGTGAGATGCGGGATTTCAGGCACCGTCTTATCCAGAATCTCAATAATGTTTGGGCTTGTGAGTGACCTTATTTTACATTTCGGTACGCTACAAGCCCATGGAGAACAAGGCACCGCGGTGGGTACCGTATAATTGGTGCCATTCACAACAGGCTTTACAGTCAACACGCATTGTGGCGTGGAATGGGTGGTTGCGGTGGCGGATGAAATCATGTCAGAACCTGAGGTCAGACACAAATAGACGTAATTTTGCTTGCACATATTTTTTACAGAACAAACTGAACGTATGAACGGTTACTTTCCTACATAGCAAAGGCACTAATGCTGTCAAACAACGCGATTGTGACTGGGAAGAAGAAAGGTTATTCCCTATTTCAGGGCCCAGAAATAGAATCGTTGTGCAAAGAACATGCTTCATATTGAAACGCTATCTTTATTACCATCTGCACATTTTGCTCATCATGGGTCTAAAAAACAATAATTACGTACGTCCCCACGTACTTATCCTATTCTTGGAAATCTCACGTCCCAACGATACATCTTTTTTAGTTTTGACGTAGTTATCTCTGCAGCATACCTTGCACAATTAACCAGAAAAGGATTGCCTTACATCTAGCATTGGTTTGCTTTGTGCTGAAATCGAGTTGAATCTTATCCAATACCAGCACAAAGATGGCAAGGAACCACTTCAAAAAAAAAAAAAAAATCAGCCAGCCACCACCATGGGTCTGATGGAATAAAACTTGAGAGTGTCGCGTAAAGTTGTACAATTTATAGTTAGCTTTATAGTTTTTACAGGTGAAACAAAATTTAGACCAGAATACCTACTGGTAAAGCATAAACTCGAATAAATGGAAATGGTTTTGCATCTTTGAAACGACATGATTTTGTTATACCCTTACATTTATGGCAGCGTATAAGTTATTGTGAAATAAAAGCTCTTACAGAAGCGGTAAAATGGACCAGTTCTTGTCGGCGCATCAAGTTTGTTCACAGACGCGGGAAGGCTAAGGAAAACCGGCTCGCCACCTGACGCATCCAACTTTCCTGCCGCCGCGCCAGTCAGTCCGTCTTCGCCGCAGCACGCCGCGCAGTAACGTCCGAACAATGCCCCAGTTTCGAACGGGAATTTCTAGGTCAACTCACAGCAAGTCGAGGACGAAACGAACATGTGATTGTGCATTCAACTCAAATTATGCAATATAATCCTTACAGTTAAGGTGCACACTACAGGGAACCAGGTAAATATTGAAACAGGCAAAAGTTGAAAACTCCATGTGCATATTAGTTAATTGCACTAGCTCAGAAGCCAATCAGAAGACGTCAAATGAAATATGAATTGAACATCAAGCTTTGATCAGGTCAGCAACTGGTCGTCGTATAGCTAAGCAGCACCCCCGGCTTCAGTTCGGCGGCAGCTCCCGTCACATCTCGCCGCCCGTGCACGGCGCACGGAGGTCGGCGGGTGCCGGCCACCTCTAGCCAGACGCCTTCAAGAACGTACCTTCTCGATCATGTTGTCGATGATGGTGGGGAAGCCGTACCAGCCGAGCACGACGCCGAGTACCAGCGTCAGCAGGCCGGCGCCCAGCAGCGCCGTGTACCGGGTGCTCGGCTCCATGATGGACCGGGGGGGCGGTGGACGGTGGGCGGTGGACGGTGGACGGTGGACGGTGGACGGTGGACGGTGGACGGCGGGCGGCGGGCGGCGGGCGGCGGGCGGCGGGCGGTGGACGGTGGACGGCGGGCGGCGGGCGGCGGGCGGCGGGCGGTGGGCGGCGGGCGGCGGGCGGCGTCAGGCAGCTAGCAGTCGGTCCTTATTGCTGGCGCGCTCCCCTCCTCCAGGCTCCTGTTCACCGCTGGCCGGCCCCGGCACGACTGGCAGGTGCTGCCGCGCGCGGTCCGGCGCGAGCCGCCGCGGCGCCGCCCGATAGCCGGCCGGCCGGCCCCACCTGATAGTCCGTCCCCCCACCGGCTGTCTGAAGTGGCCGGAGATCCCGCTGCTCCCCCGTGCCATCCCCTCTTCTGAGCACACATTCAAGGTCGGCGCAGCGCCACCCAGAGGTCTCGTGTTCGATAACGGCACACTATCACAAACATCACGAGTCGCAGAGCATTACACTAAGTCACTGAGAAGAGCGCAGTATACATGCCTAACCGACGAGTGCATAGTATGCGGTATGCACTGCAGTTCGCACAGTACATATAATAATTAAAGGTTGGCAGTTTTTTGGTGGGTTCGCTGGAGTAGATCGACTATTCCTATGACATCGTCACGGGGAAAACTTAGTTTATAACTCGCACTGATAACCCTCGCCCCGTTGGGGGGGGGGGCAATTTGGCACCCCCTGTGGTTTTTCCTGAATAGCAAGAAAGCGGTACCTTCCTGGGCATCAATTTGACACCTTCACACCAAATTTCAAGTCTTAGGTCACCTTAGGTCAGGAGTTATTAAGGTCAAACTGAGGTCATGTTCGAGCAAAAATGAGCAAAAAACATGCAATCTTGAAACGCTCACCAAATCTACAGTTACCAAGCAATTTCAAAGTTCTTTATATGTTCTAGTAGACAAAAAGCGGCGCTACAAAACTGCTATCTCGGATTTTCAAATTTTTGGTTTTTGACCCCTAAAAGATAAAAAATTGATTTTTTAGAAAAATTAAAAAAAAATCAAAAAAATCCGAATTTCGAAACACCGGAATATATGTGATAGTCCTTGCGCTCTTCTATATACAATATACATACCAAATTTCAGATCGATATCGCGTTTTTTGGCCAAGTTATAGCGAAAAAAAAACTTCAAAAATGATGATGTCAAATTTGTAACTCAATTTTTAGCGATTCTAGACCACGTAGGGCAAAACAAAGACCACCATTGAACTCCCCGTGACGAGCTGCATCGAATTGATACCCATTTATGCAAAAATATCAACTTAAAATTTGACCTAATTTGACCTGACCTTGACCTAACCTTGACCTTACCTTGACCTGACCTTGACCAAAACGTAACCTAAGCTGGCCCCAAAGGCTGCCTGACCCACATAATCGCATTTGTCATGTAAAATGGACCATAAAACATGTATCACACGACACTTTCATATTGTGACCCCCCAGTGACCTGACCTCTGTGACCTGACCTGGTATCAGTGACCTCAAATAGCAAAATATGTGTTTGAAGAATATTTCCCCATCGATGATTTTCAATGAAATGCATTTTACTCGATTTTACAACGCATTTCTTGAAATGCCTGTAAACGGTGAAAGTTCGACCTTTGAACTGACCTGTGACGTCATGGGTTTGACCTAGCTCAATAAAATTGAGTAACAAGGTAGGGGAGAACGGGGCGATTTGGCCGCCCATTTGTAAAAACGATATTTTGATAAAACCAGTGCGTGTTTGGTCGATTTCTCCATGGAGGGGTGTGGGGCGTTCATTTGTTGTTCCGGCATATTACTTGCATCATGCCGGGACATCTCGTTTCGGTAGTAATTAACCGTTCTTTCAAAGACTGCACGGCGGCCAAATGACCCCGGTACCGGGGTCATTTGGCCGGGGGAGTGGGGTCATTTGGCCGGGCATGTGATTCAGAGATATACCCATTACAGAGCTGAGACAACCTGAAATATTGACGCCCAAGATTGTGCTTAACTCATGAATTCTGGATTGACTCGACGCATGACTGATGTGACGATCCAGATGCCCCAATGCTGACACAAATGATGAGCATCGTGACTCATCTTTGATTCGCCTGAAATCCTTAATTTTTCAAAAGACTAGGCTTACACTCGATTCATTTGAATCAGTGCAAGTGAGGAGCAACATTTGATTTACGAACTTACGACTCATGAGTTGAGCACTGCCCAGTGATAACAACAGCCAACTGTAATGGCTGCCAAATCGTAGATTGCTTTAGACGACAATCACACTGCAAAAAAAAGTTATTTGTGTACGAGTTGTTTGTTTATTTCAAACTCTGTCGTAAACATGAAATAAAAACGATCCCAGCAGGCCCCGTCTTCGACCCAGCACTTAAACACATCCACTGTAAAATACGCTTGGGATTCTGTGCCGACTCTCGGTTGAACAGGGCGTGTTTCCATCTCGGTGGAAACAAGCCAACGTGGTGCCAGTGCACAAGAAAGGAGACAAACGTCGCCCGGAAAACTATCGTCCGGTCTCACTGCTACCGCTCTGTTCTAAAGTTTTAGAAAAGGTTGTTTACGACTGTCTGATGTCTCACTGCCGTCCTGTGCTGCCGCTGAGCCAACACGGATTTTATCAAACCGATCTTGTGTGACCAATCTTACATGTTTCATGAGCGATGTATGGGGTGCCATTGCCGAAGGCAAACAAACTGATGTTATTTATACCGACTTCTCTTCCGCTTTTACTAGTGTTAATCACGAACTTTTACTCTATAAGCTAAACAAGTCTTTCAACGTAACGGGTCTTGCATACAACTGGCTTCATTCATACCTTAGTGACCGTAAACAGCGTGTTGTTGTCAACGGGAAGCAATCAACATGGACACCTGTGCTGTCGGGCGTGCCGGAGGGAAGTGTGTGCAGTAGTTTGTTGTTCGCGTGCTACACAGCCGACATCCCGCTTCATGTCCAGCACGGGTGCACGATGTATGCGGATGATATCAAACTGCACAAAATGGTTCGCTGTGAAGATGATGTTCATACATTGCAAGCTGACATCAATGCATTGGTAGACTGGTCTCGCGCTTGGAACTTGCACCTGAACCCTGTGAAATGTCATGTGATAACTTTACTTTGCGCACCTCACCTGTATTAGCATCATATAAGATAGGTGACGCCGCACTGGAACGATGTACGCAGGTGCGCGATTTAGGAGTTGTGCTTGACAGCAAACTGACCTTTGCTGGTCACGTAGATGCCACGGTCGCCAAAGCGAAACGCATGGTCGGTCTGCTGATCAGAAGCATGCAGCGATCGGCCGTCCCGCGCCGCGCCAGGGTCAGTTTTAAGCCTTTACTGTCTGTGTTTTACGCTCATGTTCGCTCCATCATCGAATACGGCAGTGTGGTCTGGTCTGGTGCAGCTGTGACTCACCTCAAAAGACTCGAACGTATTCAGCACACATTTCTCATCTGGCTGGCCTGTTCTAGTAACACTTGCTCACAAAATCTTAGCTATGATCACCTACTTCAGCATTTTAACGTTCCCTCGATCAAATCACGTCTCATGCAACATGACCTGATGTTCCTTTACGGTGTGTTTCACGGCCACATTGACTGTCCTCAGCTGCTCCATCAGTTTCAGCTGTCGACACCTGTCAGACGCAACAGGTCCCCAGCTCTTTGGCATGTGCCGTTTGCTCGAGTGGCAACGATCAAAAACAATACCTTCTGCCGTATCCCATCGAGGTGCAATGAGCTTTTAAGAGACAACACATCTCTAGACTTCTTTTATTCTCCGATATCAGTGTACAAGGCCTCTGTAAGGCTCCATGCTGCACGAGCTGGCTTTTATTGAGCTTTTGTCCGTCCGAAGGGTTGCGTGTATTTATATAGATTTATCTTATATTTATCCATGACTTCACCTGTAACCGGGTTTTATCTGTACCTGTTGGTGATGAGCAAATAAACAACATAAACAACATACGGTCCCGACGGCATGGATGTCCAGTCATCACTGCGCTTCACTGTTTTTCACCTTTGCGCCCCTGTTTCTTCGACGGTCCAGCTCCCGACGTTCGATGGTTCGACGTCCAGCTCCCGACGTTCGATGGTTCGACGGTCCAGCTTGTGGACCCCGCTTTTTGCTCCTCGCCATACGTGCCTGTTGCTTGCCCTCCAAAGCCGTCCGCTCCGGGCTGTTAGTCATGATTTTAGAACGCCCTTTCTTCCGACCGGCTTTTTGAACGTTGATGCGCACCTGCGGAAGTGGTCGGATGGACTCTGGGCTTCCGACAAGCAACTAAGACACGGCGACAGCAGGCGGCTGGAGCACGGCCGCGGCAGGCAGCTGGAGCACGGCCGGCCCCGGGGCTGGCGGCTGGAGCACAGCCGCGGCAGGCGGCTGGAGCACAGCCGGGGCCGCGGCGTGCTTATCTGCCGTCACCATCTGCCGCCGGGTGCCGAAAGCCAATCAGCGGACACCTTGGTTAGGTCGTCCCTTGCATTTAGACTCCGCCGCATTACCATCCTCAGTGGCAGAACTTAGCCAGCGCAGCGCGTCGCTCGCAGACTAGGCAAAAAATCAACTGAGTCGCTGGGCGGCCAATTCGCCCCGTATGGGGCGGCCAATTTACCCCAATATGACATTTTTAGGAAAAGAGGTCCGCAGACAAGCAAAAATTGTTACTTAAACTTGCAAAAGGGTCAGACAGCTCCCTGAATTACCAGATTGTTCTACCAATAGAGTTAAAATTTTGATGCCACCCAAATAAGGGACACCATGCAACTTTTCGTAAAGAAGAAAAAGTTACGTTTTTTAGCCAAAATTCAAATATCGTTGGCTTTACAAAAAACTGGGCGTCGCCGAGTTTCCTTAGTTTCTTTCCAAAGTAGTTCTTATGACGGCGGATTAAGTCATATTAAAAAATAATCGCTCGGGACCGTCAAAACGCGTAGGCATGGGGCGGCCAAAGTGACCCGGGCGGCCAAATGACCCCGCTCTCCCCTAGTTCCCTGATAGGGCTATCCAACACCGCTTGCCGCTTGTCGCTATGTTGCGTGGT